GAGGTGCGACCGTACAACTCTGTGTGCAGCGACCGTACAAACAGTGACCAATCATCAACCTCTGTTTAACCTAATCCCCCATCCTGATCATGAGTAGCTCCCTGCGTGTACACACTTGATCCGCAATACCCGTCCTGAATAAACGTGCTCCGTGCTACACGTCTGGTTCCTTTATAGCTGGGCTATTGCTTAGTTGGTTCTGGGAGTCTAGCTAGATGTAGGAGAATCTGCCATAGAGATATCTAAGTCAGTCAGGCTTTAATAAAGTAGCAATCCGCTACAGTCCTATATCACTTTAGTTAAGTAGTACGTGCCATTGACAACTATAGGGGTTACTGTTAGTCATCTAATTGTAATAAAGGCTCGAAAATGCTAAAGCAGGAATGAAAGGTTGGACAAAGATTGCGTACAAATAATAAATTTGGTACTTTAGAACATAAAGTAGTATTTATATCAAAGGAATTATGACTTCTTAGATAACCTTGAAGTGGGGGGTGTACGATAGACTCACCTCCACGTGGTGCACCCTGGTCAACGTATACTCATAGGGCAAAAAAGTCTATTAACTGGCAGTTGACTTCTGACTTCAAACTACCATCACCAAACTGTCATATTCGACTACTTCCACAGTACTCATCTCTTCTCTACCTTTGTGTCTGTATCTATTACATTTGTGAAATACTCTTCTGTCCTCCCCCTCTCTCGATTTTTTTTCACTTTGATGTTCCTTCTCCTGTGTGAAGCCTGAAGTCAACTAAAGGGCTTATGATGTCTATCAAAACACCTGCCATTTGAAATAAATAAATGATTGTGACGGGATCTCAAATTGATAAAATTTTTCCACCTATACTTACATATAGCGCATAGGGAAAATATCTTGTGCATTTTTAATTACTCCGAAAATCCGTATTCTATTGCCTTACCATAACCTAAGTTGGGTTTTACTCGAGACTTGACAGTTTGACGGCTCAAAAAGGGAACTCCTCCATCCCAGACTTTATAGATTAACACCGTAGTACCATAGTTAAGAGTAGGTAGTGTGTATGTTCTCAATTCATAATCGATCTTCACAGTTCCAATTCTCATGAAAATAGTTTATCGCCACCATGTCAAGACGCTATTTATCATAACAATTGCCTTAAATAGCAATATGCGACTGCATAGATTGGAGTAGCTTGTTTGAAATAACCCGCTAGTTTAAATTAAAGAATATGAGGGGATGAACTTGTCCACATAACTAAATGCGGTATTGTTACGGAAATAAGGAAAGCTGATAAAACGAAATTTGAGTGCTATATTCAACAGAAACACTCCGGTGTTTGCATTATTCCACAACAACGATAGTTGAAAGGTGCATGTGGAAGCGAAATAAGCGAACTACCGGTGTCATCGACTTGGTTCAAATTAATCATGATGGGCAAAGAATGACGCATTGAACTCAGAATTGAAAGTGTGGTTAACTTATTGATTTTACTGCACAGACGACGCGTTGTTATCTTAATAATTGGAATCAATTTTGTCACAACTAATCCCCCATTAAGAATCACTCATCTTCTCCTCATAAATGGTTGGCTGTTTCCACATGATTAGAAGTTGTAAAACTCTTCGCTCTGGGAGGAGAAATAAATACTCAACCAAACAGGAAACATTTCTTCTTACATAACTAGCTTAAAACTGGACAAAGACATAGGGTGAATAGATAAATCGATCATAATTAAAGCCTATGGGAAATTTTCGCCCTTCAAGAGAGCGCAACGAATACTGTGCCCACGGCTGACAGTACCTAGTTCAATTCATGTTTTGGGTTTCATCTGAGTATTTAGCAATTAAACTGACTTAAAAGACCCAGACAGTGAAATGTAATTTGAGTTTTCAAGGAAACGACTTTATTTCCAGAAATTTTGCTTCAAATTATTAAGGCATTTCTGCAACTTTATTTGCATGTGAGTTGAAGAGCACGTCCTCATGAGTATCTAAGATGACTCGGCTATCACGATTCTTCTGACATTCCAACCATTGCATGTTTTTCTGAAGGAATTGCTAATTTAAAGAAATGGACGTGAACAACAGTGCGGGGATATATACACACACGCAATTGTGACGAGGCACAACATTTAAGTGATTTAGCAATGGAACATGCGCGATAGTTAAATGAAATTCAGGAAGGAAAAGCGGATTGAAAAGAAAATAAAATTATTATAGTTACGTTTGAAAAATTATATAAAAATGAACACAGTTAATCTTTTAAAATAAAATCTTGAATTAAATGAAATGCAAGAAAGTAAACTTTCATTTAATTTATAAAATAATTACCCTGTATTCTTTATCCTTTCTTCGCATTTCCCGCCGTCTTTTGCTTGCCTGAGAAAAGAATGAGATATTATAATTAATTTAATAAAAAACTTCAATAATATATTTATTTAATCACCATGCCGCCTACTTATTCATTGTTTAAACAAAAATCTTTACTTTCATGAAGATTGATTATTGGCATTCGATTAAATTGAATTCCCACCTTATGAGGCGCCTACACACTCCTAACAGAAGAATTTATTAAAAGCGAAAATAAATCGGAGATAAAAGAATGCCTTGATAAGGTGTTAAACTTAGAGCTAACAAACAACCAAAAAGCAAAAGAATTAATTGATAAAAATGTGCAGAAAATATAAAATTATATAATCCAAAATTCTATTAAGGAATGGCGGCCATTTAAACTTAAACCACACACACCTGCCTGATATACATTCACATAAGATATGAAGAGAAAACTGTTTATTAAAGGATTCTCGTTAACAAAAAACGTAAATCGATTAATTTGTTGAGCATTAAAGTGATTTTCAATAAAGTGGCTGAGAATTTTCTCCGTCAAGTTAGATAATTATTAGCAGCACCTGATCTTATTATTGTTATCATCCTGAACCCGTTATATTAAACGTTTAACAACGGGGAAGCAGAGACCGGTCTCAATTCAAATAATAAGACTTTAAGTAAATCAAAGCGGCTTCAACATTAAACACACTTCGTAGGTAGGAGGCATGTTTGCCAGATTGGGGGTGGTGGGATGGTGGGGGGTGGGGTGGGTGATTACTGCTAAAACGTGGTGGATAGGCGAGTAGTCTTAGGACCGTATGAACACTAAAAGCCTAAGAGACTGAGCAAGTACGTCTTTAAAGGCGCTAAATAGCCATAGTCATGGGAAAGGATCGTGGGAAACACAGTTAAATGGAACATGAAGCGGTTTTAATAGAATGATTCCTATGTCAGTGTACCATAGATGGGATGCTCTCCTCACTTCAATGGTAAGTTTAGACATCCACTTCTCTAGATGCGTACTAATGTGTAACACTCTTGTGACCTTTGACTTGGTAGACGTTGAACTTCGACCGCTCCGTTTGGTTCAACTCAACGTCAACACCTCCAGATATATGGTATCTTCTGCGGTCAAACAAATTCAAATTGGTTTTATACTACAGACAGTTAAAAATGTGCCTACATTTTGCAATTGCATAGACTCCACGGCTTCAGTTAATGACGCCTAAACAATAAAATAAAAGCACACGTTAGCGTCATACTTTCATTTTCACCTGGTTAATATGCGTTGGTGAAATGCAATTCTAATGGGTGCTATTAGACTAAGCAAACCAACCGGGAGCGAGAAGTTCATCTATAAAACCCAATGAAATGATACTAGTAAATCACTTTCCAATGGGGGGCTATGAAGGGGGTGGTGGAGAGACGGGGAAGTGAGAGGAGATAGAACGATAAACTCCCATAAATCGAGGCCATAAAACGCCCAGCTTAGGCGGAAATCAGTTTATTTTGAGGTACATGAGTTCACTGTGTGTGTGTGAGAAAGTTTTTAAATCCAATTTGCTGACTCGTACACAATTCTCAATGCCTCAATGTGAAGAGAAGAAAGTTTCTTTCTAATAATAATGACGATAATATATATATATATATATATATATATATATAGTTCCTCCTTAAATTTAAATCACTACCGAACGCAAAATGTACTCTATTTTAACGAATCGAAATTGGTAAAAACTTAATTAATTTAATTAATATCAAAATTATTCAATGGAACATTTATTTAATTAAATTGACGAATTCATTGGTAAGATTAAGATAGTAACTGCTGATGAGTACTCTAAACTCATACTGTGTATATAAAGAGCAAAAAAATGACATTTTCTAGAGGCTATATATTTAATTTATTTCCCTCTATTTGAAATTCATGAGAAGCACAAAAATAAATGACTACAAAAAGCGAAAGATTTTGATTGTGTTTTAGCTGTTCAAAATGAAGTAGTGGAGTTGGTGCATAAAGCCGTAAATAAAAATTTTCTGAGAAGGGAAGACGTGAGAAAAAGCACATCAAAAAATAATTAAGAAGCACGAAGTATTTATGGAAGCTTATAATCAAGAAATAGGCCATTTCCTTAGATTATCATTCTGTGGTTTTCAAAGCTAAGCTAAGTCAAATGCTATATATGGGTCTATTTGCCTAAATTATCAGTTTGGATCAATTGAATTAGGGTCCACTCAATCGACTTGAAACTCGTTTGGTATGAGTAATGGGTGATCATGTGATGCAAAACTAAGTCCAACCTGACAACTCTCTATTTCTCTCTTCTACCTCTTCGATCGTTCCAAAACCACTGGTCAGACGAAACTTCTGTCCTTCTGTTTTGAAGGGCAACCAAGAGACTAACTTGAATTAGTGTTGCTTTACATGCATGCGAAAACCACCGTTCTCTTAAACGAAAATTCCTTTATGGAACCAATGTTGATTTTATGGGGGTGTGAGATAGACTTACCGCCAAGTGGTGCACCCTGGGCAACGTATACTCATACGGCAAAAAAGTCTATTAACCGCCAGTTGACTTCTCACTTCAAACTACCATCACCCCACTCTAGGCCATATTCCACCACTTCCACAGTGCTCACCTCGCATTTTTTCTACCTTTTCTACCTTCGTCTTTGAGACACTCTTTTGCCCCCCCCCCCCTCTCGACTTCTTTTCACTTTGATGTTCCTCCTCCCCTCTGTGAAGCCTGAAGTCAACTAAAGGGCTAATGATAACCATCAAGACGCCTGCCATTTGATATAAATAACTAAAAATGGAGTTAAAAGCTTTCATCTGAGCGCTATCGTATATGGAAGAGTTTTGACCAACTGAAAAGGAAGCTAAGTTTTAATCCATATTTAAAGCGTTTCCAGCCGATTTCGGCTAATAGGAACGAAAAATATGTGGGCAATAAAATGTCATGAAAATTTAAGCCGAAACTGCTATAAATAGGCCATGATTTCGTGATATGCCTGGGGAAATAAACTTAACTACATGTGTTATTAATAGATTTCTAATTGAATTAAAATAACGACCAGCAATTATCACGGTGATTTTTTCCTTCGATTCTTATGGGCCTGGGAATGTGGAAGTTCTAGAAGTGGCAATCGTTTCTTAATCATAGTATGCATAAATAACCTCAATCGAAAAGTAGATTATTTAATTTTGTATTAAAAATTGAAGCATGGGAAGTGCTCCCATTGCACAATCTTCTAATAAGAAATTTCGAATTTCCACATATTTTTGTTAACATTCTCGGAAATTACGACAGTCTGTGAATCAATTCGAATATACATTTTGAAAATGATTCATTGCCATTTTTGTGCTAGAACAACAGAGTTCTCAATTTGATTTATTCTGGAACTACGCCAAAAAATCTTACCAGAGAGGTAATTTCCAATTGTCCTGTTGTAGAAATTAACCTGAAATCCAAGTTTATCTACTATCTATCTCATTTCTAGCTAAAATCCAATTGATCGAGAAGAAGAATATTTCTATAATTGTACCGAACCGATTTAGTTATTTTACTTTTGAGAAAAACGCGGTGTAGATGCCTGCCTAACATACTATTTATCGCATCAAACAGCTAGTTATATATAATTCAGGTATTAAATAGCTTTACTAAGAAGGTAGGAATAAAATCGATTGAAAAGCTAAACACTTTAAGACGCCGAGTAGGTAACAACGTTCTTACATCAAACCAGAGAATGAAAATGAAGATGAGATGAATAACGACGTAGAGAACTCCGAAAGAGATGAAGACATTCTGTTCCAGTCGTTTCATCACCTCTAGTCGCATTGCCTCTTCTGTTTGCTTGGCGTCTGGAAAGTGACTCAGCTCGACGCAGTCCTGCGCTTCCATATAGGCTCGTAAAAGCGCCAGGAAGTAGAGAGAAACCACCTCGTTGTTGAGGGTGTAACTGCCCAAAGATGCTCCACTTTTTCGAGGAGTTTCCGATTGGATGTAAGGCGGCGCGGGCATATCAAAGTAGGAGTCCTTGGAGAGACTTGGTTCTGATGGAATTAGAAAAAAATATGTCTTGGGTATATAGAAGGTCAGAATATTGATGACTGGGGTGTGGGATAGACTTACCTCCACGTGGTGCACACTGGGCAACGTATACTCATACGACGAAAAAGTCTATTAACTGGCAGTTGACTTCTGACTTCAAACTATCATCACTCCACTGTATGTCATATTCAACCCCTACCACAGTACTCCTCTTACCTTTTCTCTGCATTCGTGTCTATCTGTCTCTTTACATCTGTGAATCATTATTCTGTCCTCCTCTCGACTTTTTGTCACTTTGATGTTCCTTCCCCTCTGTGAAGCCTGAAGTCAACTAAAGGGCTAATGATAACCATCAAAATGCCTGCCATTTGATATAAATAAATAACTAGTATTGGCACACCAGAAAGACGGTAACACCATCTATAATTGCTTGTCTTGAGCTCAACGTAGGTAGGTCAAATAAAAGTTCAAAGTAAGGTATAGAAAGATCAGGTCACTATCGACTCACCCAACTGGTAATAAGCGAACTAATTTTATTGCACTAATAACATAACGCACGTTCTTTATTAGAGGGTACAGCTACAGTTGCTACGACATATATCCACTACATATGTCTTGTCTACAGTTGGCTTAGATGAGGGATAAAATGAGCATACAACTAAGCAAACACATTAACTCAACAAACTACCATAGTTCAAAATTTTGACGAACGAAACATCACCAAAATGATAACAATTTTTGTGCAAAATAACTGTCAAAATGTCAGAGAGGATGTGCGTCGGTGTATTGATGGGTGACATGAGGTAAACTGAGGAAATGCATATCCTGAAGGCGTTTGTCGACCACCTATCCCTATGACAATGATACAACTATGAAATTAAGCTGTTCTGTTGGACCATTTTCGGCTGTTATCAGACGAAATAGAACTAAAGCCATGGGAGCAAAAAATCAGAGTAAATATTAACTTTCTTGATAAAAATCAGTATTTCTACTCATCAGTTTGCAAATACTAAACCTAAACCAATTACCCTCAACTGTCCTAGCCAAGGGTCAAATGATGATCAATTTCAGAATCGAAAATCTTCAAATTCCTTCTGGGCTTTCTCATTGAAAACTCTTAAGCACAATTACGTTTTATTCCGTAAATAGTGCATTGATGATGAACTCTCTTGTCGAAATTACCCTCAGTTCAACTATTCACTAAATGATTATTATTATTATTTCAAATGGCAGGCTTTATGATATTTATCATTAGCCCTTAAACTTTGACTTCAGCTTCCCCATGGATGGGGGGGGGTACATATATAGCAGTTAATTAATAGCAGTTCATTAGCTGTCTTCTTTCTTCTCAGTATCTCTGGGTTTCCGTCATTGTCTTTAAGGCCGGACACCGA